CACCTGCTTACCAAACCAAGGTTTTAGCTCATTTTTTTTGTGATGTTCACCTTTTTGGGTTATTTTAATTTTTAATGAACATTTGAATCTAAAAATATATCCGTCAAAGTATGAAAAATTAGACAACCAAAAACCATCCAAAAACAATACAATCACACTGTAGGAAGAAGTTAATTTTGGGTAGATGTTTGAACAAATATATGAGTTTTCTAGAGTTTTGGAATTACGTATATCTAAGTTAAATATTTTTTAACAAATCATGGGATTAAGTGTTAGATCTGCTATAAATTAGGGTTGTAGAGTAGATACTTTTACATCTGCTATAAATTGACACTACTACAAAAGGGCCCTATAGTGTCAGTAGGTGGTGTCGGTTTAATATAATATAGTGGCGGATTAGACAGTTGCGACACTAATTGAACATGACGTCGGATTTACTGTCGCTTATAAGCGTCATAAAATGTTTATGTCGCTTTTAAACCGACGTAAACATACATTTTAATAATTTTTAAATACCAGTGTCGCTTTTAAGCGACATAAAGTATTTTTTAAATACTGGTGTCGCTTTTAAGCGACATAAATTATATATATATATATATATATTAAATTAAATTTTATACCCCTAAAAACTATAATAATTATATATATATATATATATATATATATATTAAATTAAACTTTAAAAAATTGGTGATCATTGGATTGACTTAAATATATATACGATTCAATTTCTTAAGTGTTATACATACAAAATAAATAAATTTAAATCTACTTAATAAATATATATATATACACACACACCATCGAACTTGATTCGATACGAATTCTATCAAACTAATTTCGACAGTCATAAACGAAAAATCACGATTTAACGGGTATTTTAACTCCGATTTTGATGATTTTGTTACAGCTACACTCCTTGACCCTATATCAATACAATGAATGAATTTGATCTTCAATTTAAAATATTTACTCTAGTGGATACCACAAATCTTATGTTATACTTAATGAAAGTATAAATAAACTCTAAGTGTTAGTGAATCTATCGTTTTGATGAGATACGCATCCTACGAAACTAATTTCAACGATCCAACCGTCAAACTTGTTTGTATATGCTTCGAGATCGCATACGCCAAAAATCGCAAAAAACAAACATTCAGAGATCAAGTAACGGGACAAAACTTTTCGACGGTTATAAACAAAAAATCACGATTTAACGGTTATTTCAACTCCGATTTTGATGATTTTTTACAACTACACTCCTTGACCTTATATGAATACAATGAATGAACTCGATCTTCAATTTAAAATATTTACACTAGTGGATACCACAAAATCTTATGTTATACTTAATGAAAGTATGAATAAACTCTTAAGTGTTAGTGAATCTAACATTTTGATGGAATAAGCATCCTACGAAACTAATTTCAATGATCCAACCGTCAAACTTGTTTGGATATGCTTCGAGATCACATACGCCAAAAATCGCAAAAAACAAAGATTCAGAGATGAAGTAACAGGACAAAACTTTTCGACGGTTATAAACGAAAAATCACGATTTAACAGTTATTTTAACTCCGATTTTGATGATTTTTTACAACTACACTCCTTGACCTTATATGAATATAATGAATGAACTCGATCTTCAATTTAAAATATTTACACTAGTGGATACCACAAAATCTTATGTTATACTTAATGAAAGTATAAATAAACTCTAAGTGTTAGTGAATCTATCGTTTTGATGAGATACGTATCCTACGAAACTAATTTCAACGATCCAACCATCAAACTTGTTTGGATATGCTTCGAGATCACATACGCCAAAAATCGCAAAAAACAAAGATTCAGAGATCAAGTAACGGGACAAAACTTTTCGATGGTTATAAACGAAAAATCACGATTTAACGGTTATTTTAACTCCGATTTTGATGATTTTTTACAACTACACTCCTTGACATTATATGAATACAATGAATGAACTCGATCTTCAATTTAAAATATTTACACTAGTGGATACCACAAAATCTTATGTTATACTTAATGAAAGTATAAATAAACTCTTAAGTGTTAGTGAATCTATCGTTTTGATGAGATACACATCCTACGAAACTAATTTCAACGATTCAACCATCAAACTTGTTTGGATATGCTTCGAGATCATATACGCCAAAAATCGCAAAAAACAAAGATTCAGAGATCAAGTAACGGGACAAAACTTTTCGATGGTTATAAACGAAAAATCACGATTTAACGGTTATTTTAACTCCGATTTTGATGATTTTTTACAACTACACTCCTTGACATTATATGAATACAATGAATGAACTCGATCTTCAATTTAAAATATTTACACTAGTGGATACCACAAAATCTTATGTTATACTTAATGAAAATATGAATAAACTCTTAAGTGTTAGTGAATCTAACGTTTTGATGGGATAAGCATCATACGAAACTAATTTCAATGATCCAACCGTCAAACTTGTTTGTATATGCTTCGAGATCGCATACGCCAAAAATTGCAAAAAACAAACATTCAGAGATGAAGTAACGGGACAAAACTTTTCGATGATTATAAACGAAAAATCACGATTTAACGGTTATTTTAACTCCGATTTTGATGATTTCTTTATAGCTACACTCCTTGACCCTATATGAATACAATGAATGAACTCAATCTTCAATTTAAAATATTTGTAATAGATTAGTAGTGTATGGATTTTTTTTATTAGGCTCTTATTTTCGAGTGTAGATGTAGTACTTAAACGACAAATGTGTTTTAACAATCACATTATTTATTTATTATTTTGCATTTTAATTATAATATGTTTATAGTTATTCTGTCAATTTTTATTTTCATACTTATTATAGATGATTGAATTCTTGATAATGAAAATTTTTAACTATAACATGTTTATAGTTATTATGCCATACCTAACTTGGATGATCGAATTCTTGATAATGAAAATTTCCATACAAGGGTTGGCATGGAAGAGACTCCTTTTCTTGAATCACTACCGTTGCCTACTGAATTCGTTAATCATGCCAATGCCGACGACGAGCTAACAGATAATGATAGGGAATATATATATTAATTATTTTATGTATTAATTAGATGATGTTTCAATTCATGTGGGATGATATCTTATCATAAAATTATATTTATGTTTTTTATTAAGTATTATATATAAGTTATATTTTATTTATTAAAATATTATATAAGATAAAATAATTGATTATATTTTAAATTTGGGTTACATTTGGGCGGGAATTTTCCCCCTTTTTTTTGCACGGGAAATAAATTTGGGTTACATTTGGGCGGGAATTTCCCCTATTTTTTTTGCACGGGAAATAGGTTGGACGACTTCTTGCAGACTGTGTCAGAGTAAAACCGACGCAAACTGTTATTATTTCGACACAAAGATTTCCTATTTCGACGCTACACTAATCTATCAAGCTAACGTCAGTTTTATCCGACGCAACCCTGTCATTCAAAAATGTGTCAGACCTTTCAGTCAAAAGTGTGTCAGGCTGTGTGTATTTAGGTCGTGTTAGACCTAGTGTCGGTTTGAACCGACGCAAAGTCATCATATTTCGACGCAATGTGTTCATGTTTCGACGCGAGTTATTTTTTATCAGTTTGTTAGACATTACGTCGGTTTTGACCGATGTAAGGTGTTCATATTTCAACGCAACTTGTAGCTGCTGTCGGTATTAACCGACGCTAAGTTTTTATCCATATTTATACCTCGTCTTTCCCAGTACTTATGCGCTTCCATTTCTCTCTTATATTTCTCCTCTAGTTTACTCCCTCTCCTTCTCCCATTTCAGCCTTACTCTTTCCTCCATTTCAACCATACCCCTTCTCCTTCCACTAACTTTTGCTATGGGTAATTCTAGTGAAGATCAACGTTCTGAGGAACTTCATTTGGAAGATGAGGTGTTCGAAACTGGTTCTTTTTTTACTTATTATTAATTTCAGCTTTTGTTTTGTGTTTAAACTAATATTATGCTTAAATTGAAATTTTACATTTGTTTCCTGTTTTGTAGTTGTTGATTTTTTTGTATTAATAAGGTATATCTTAGCAGAGGTGCGCATCCACCCTCCTGCTGAAGTGAATCCTACAGAGTGGGCTGAGTTGGTGGAATACTGGGATGGAGAAAAAGCAAAGGTAATCGTTACATGTTTATTTCGTTATGACTTTAAATTTGTCTAATAAATTTCTGTTTTTGTTCAGGAGATTACTTAAAAAAGTAAGATTAATCGGCAATTTAAAACAATGAATCATACTACCGGCACAAGATCTTTTGCAAGAGTGTGGCAAGAATTTGAATGTATTGTCCATTTTGAAGAATTGTATCTAATTTTAAATAAATGTGGTGGATGAGTTTTTGTAAATTATATGGAATGTTAGATGTAAAACATTTGTATATTATGGCACTATTTTTCTTTTGAATTATTTTTATTATTGTTTTGTTTTGGCCTATAATTGAAATTTATTATTTCGATTATATAATTTTTTTGAGTTATAATTATTTGAGAACGAATACAGAAACAGATTTTGAGTTTTTTTTTATTATTATTATCAAAGGTAGTGTCGCTTTAAACCGTCACTAGTTTGCATATTTTATTTATTTAATTGTTATCTAACGTCGCTTTAAACCGACGTTAACATCAGCGTCGCTTTAAACCGACGCTGTTTTTATTTATTTAATTGTTATATAACGTCGCTTTAAACCGACGTTAACGTCAGCTTCGCTTTAAACCGACGCTGCTTAGTGGCGGATTAAGCGAACAAACCGACATTGAAGCCCTTTAGTGACGGTAGCAATGGTGTCGCTATTCCAATTCGACATTGCACTGTTTTACGTCGGATTTTTGCCAAATTTTCGACAGAAATTGGGTTTCTTGTCGGTTTTTGTTCCGCCGGTGATAGCCTGTATTGTAGTAGTGTGATCATAGTGTGATTAAATATAAAACAAATCTACAACAACAATCAAGTTTTATCTCACTAAGTATTTGTACTTAACACTAAATCAACCAATGGTCAATTATTTCGAAAAGAGGCGTTGGCTATGTTGTAAGTGGCCAATAAACAGCGGACACTAGATCCGCAGCTGTCGGTGCCTAGCGAGTGCTGACGTGTGACACCGGTGATCTGGTCTCCCACTTGTGTGTCCAGGCATTGAGGACGATTGTAACATTCAGCATGATCGATCATTCTTTGTGGGCTTATATTAATAAAAAAGACTTTGAAGAGGAACTAATACAAATGAATAACGTACAAAGACACGTAAGAAGAAAGTGCATTTAAAACAAACTGGATCTAGCTTGGCACAAAGTTAATAGAGTTGTTCAAGTGTGGCTTGCAAAGCTGAATACACAGCACGCCAACCCTGTTGGGTAGGGTGAGCAGTGTCCCAAAAGAATGCGGATTCCGGGTTTTTACAAATGGTATACTTCTTTGCACCACTTTCATCCACACTCCCACAAAAACGCCCACTGCTTATACCAATGCAGCATGGCCTCAATGGGTTATCAAACTTTATGCTTCCTGCTCAAGAGAACAAGATGATTTCACGTATTAGCAATTCATTTGATATTTATGTGCTTGAATACTTAGATTAAGATAGGCTAACGGTTCAATAGATCCCAATGTCATTAGACATATATATTATATACTACTTATATAGTACTCACCTAGATCTCCTTTGTTCTTGAACACCGACATGAACGAGGCATAAAGATCAACAATGATAAAAGAATTCTTGGTTTCTTTGTTCAACTTGGCCACAGCTTGCTGCAACAGAAGGTTGTGGAAAACGACTAGCGCGTTCTCAGTTACATTGCATTGTTGGAATGAAAATGATGCCGTCCTCGAAGGGAGACATCCCAAAGGTTGAAGAGCTGTCACAACTACTTTGCTCACTCCCAAGGCATAAATACGTTTCAAGTTCACACTTAGTTGATTCACGACTGATGTGATGAAGGGTTGCCAACCCTATAATACACAGATAATTGAAAAGCAAGAGGAGTTCAATACAAATAAAATGTAGGTTGAGTTTATGTACGAAAAAATATTTGTAAAATAACGTTGAATTGGCCAAAAAAATTCATAACATGCCTATAATATTTCTGTAGTTTTTCCTTTTGGTTTTAAATAAAAGAAATATTGGAAATGAGATAGGAAAGAGATGCGTGAAAGGGCAAAACAAAAGATAAAGAACAAAGAAAAAATAACTTAAACTGAAAATTGGTGTCATCACATTACCCCCTTCATTTGTCTGATTTGAGCTAGAGAACAAAGTTACGTAAGCCAGTATTTTCTGAAGATCATCTACCTAATCCCATTCTTTGAAGTGCTTACGTACCAGCTTCCATGATCTTTCCTTTTTCCAATAAAAAATTTTAATCGTTTAGAAGAGGTTGATTATCTTGGTGGCTAGGGTATTCTTTTTCAACTTTTTGTGTTCGGAGTACAAATTCTTCTCCCTCCCTTAGTATAAATTAATGTAGAACATCGTTTGTAGTAAAAAAATATTCACTATCCCTTTATTTATATTATTTTTTTTATTTTTACTAATAAAATTTCAAACGCTAGATCTCTAGATCTCTAACCTACTCATACTCAACACCATACCCAAAGTGAAAATATTTATAAGCCAAAGTGAAAATTTATATGTACAATATGTAGAATAATAACATAATTATAAAGGTTCTTTACAAATACACTTGTGTAACTCTTATTTTTTTCAACAAGTCCACCAATTCTTTTACTTCCAACTAAAATCTAAAATACAAGTAAGATGTCATGTAACAAAATAATTTGACCTATTATTAAAAGTTAACTTGCCACCATTCTTCAATCAAACTCACATTAAGGGAACTAATAACTAGGGACTATGTTACTAGGTCAACAATTGTTCGAGAGTGTAATTTTTGCAATATTGCTGTCACTATATTGGACAAATACCCTATTATTTTTTAAACGAAATATTGATTCTTGATGATTTTGTTTGATAAAAAAATGTTAAACGTGCTAACCTGAACAGAGCCATTTGTCGCGATATAAGTCCCGTAGTCGTTGCCGGGACCGGTGACGAGGGCGACGGAGGAGTGAAGATCTTTGGGAGTGAAGATGGAGCCGTTTTCTATGAGCTTCTGAAAGAAGTCAATCTGGGTTGTCATGTTGGGATCCAAAACCAAGGTTTTAAAAACACCTGTGCCTCCATATGCGAAATTAACTCCGTACTTCAAATGATTGATCCCGACTTTTCTAAATCTGTATGGTATTGGAGACTTCACTCCTATAAACCTAGCTGCAATATCATGTGTGTTAGAAAATCATAGAGAGAAATTGTAATCAAATATTCGAGAACTTATAGTGTGGTAATAGAATACCGCATCATTGTACAACAAATCTATGCATATTATAACACGTAGATTGAGTATTAATATTATAATTTGAAATATAACCTCATCAATTTATTCACGTGAATTGGTTAACCAAGTGCACAAAACATATTCAAGGGCTTTCTCTAAATTATGGCTTTTAACATATTCAGTAATTAATTTTGAGTCAAAGCTGGTTACCACATTCAATTGGACTTGGGTAACTAGATGGAGAAGAACTTATAGGAAAGGAGAAAAACATATGGGAAAATGTTAGGGAGATCACATTTTATATTATAGTTGATATATATTATCTAATGTTGAAGGTGATGTATACATGTCATGTTAGTTAATGAATTTATCAAATTGGATGTTGGTTGCATGCAACACTTGCCACAAGAGGTAATATGCTAATATGGTTTAAAAATGTAGTCTCTCTAACATTACTCAAACTTATTATGAATTTGTCACAATCATGTTACGACAACAACGTAGTAGACTATTCTAGTAAAAAGATTGCATGGCGCCAAAGTTAATGGAATTTTTTAATTACTGGACACACGCAACATTTTAATTATCTTTATGCTAAAGGACAGAGTTATTGCTTCACAATACAACTGTAGTACATATTAGATTGATCAAAGTGAGAAAATGAACAAAATTATAACTGTTGGAAGGAACATAAAGTAAGTTTGAATGGTTTTACGACTTTAAGGGACAATGGGGACAGATTTAGGATAAGGAAGGTTCAAGCAAAAAAGGTAAAGAATTAACACAGAAAATCATGATTAAGAGTCAATAATGCAGATGAAAAATATCCAAGACTCCAAAAGGTTGAGCTAGCTCATGTGATAAGGTAAGAATTTACATGATGGTGACCTGACATGTGGATTAAAAGCAAACAATAAAAATAAAAGAGGTATTCATCAATTTCCCCCTGAACTTGTGACTATTGGCCAATTTCTCTCCTCAACTTTAATTTTGGCCAATTTCCCCCTTCAACTCTCATAATTAGTCAATTTTCCCCCTCAACTTTAATTTGGCAAATTTCTCCCCTCAACTCTCATAATTAGTCAATTTGCACCCTACTATTAATTCCAATTTCCCCCCTCAACTCTCATAATTAGTCAATTTGCACCCTATTATTAATTTTTTAATTTGATCATAATTAAACAAGTGTGTGTAAAAAACTAAATAAGATGTATGTTAATCATTTTCCTATGTCTTTATCCTATTACAAATAGATTAAAATTTAAAATTTTACAATTTATCATAGATAGTATTATTAGTCATAATAAATCAGTATGGAGTAATTTTATTTGATTTTGTACTATACAAAATTGATAACAAAAAGGATTGATGTGTACATTTTTGTATGCGAATACCATTTTCTTTATAAAAGTGAAAGCTAAGTTCAAGTAAATTGCGGAGAATCGAGCTTTAGTGCAAAAATGGCTAGTCAATTCATAATTTTCGACTCTTTATTAATAACCCATTTTATTGAAATAGGTCTGATCCATGAGTTTAGGATTATTATTTCTTCTTCTACATGCTTTAAACCCGATTCATAACTTTTTCTTATAATCAACCCATATCACATACTAATTGTATTATGTTTTTATACATTTTACCTTATATTATGCAGGTGAGTTTATGTTAATTTTAGTACTTTGTTGGAAGTTATTAGAAAGATTGAAAGAAAAAAAAGAATAGATGGAAAATTAAAAAAAAATTAACAGTAGGTGCAAATTGACTAATTATAAGAGTTGAGAGGGAAAATTGGCCAAATTAAAGTTGAGGGGGGAAATTGACTAATTATGAGAGTTGAGGGGAGAAATTAGCCAAAATTAAAGTTGAGGGGGTAAATTGACCAATGGCTTATGAATACCTCAAAATAAAAAGCTTACCCAATAGTGCAACAATATTACAGATTAAAAGAAAACCATCCAAAGAGGCCATTATTGTAAGAGGAACCCACCACCGCTGTACCATTTTACAGCAATAATATATCACTAAAGAGAGCACTAAAGCATAGGTTCTAAACAAAGAACTGAGCAAAGAAAAAGAACAGTATGTTACTTTTACTCTTTGCACCAAAAAGCAGAGAATTGCACATGATTAGAGAGAATAAGAGAGGAGGGTTGGTACCAAGGAAATCGGTGAGGACGCGGCCATCGGAGAAACGGCCACTGGGTTTTCCCGGGAATGTGATTCCATAGGGTTGTTTCCAAGAAGTAGCCACTGATTTTCTGTTGTTTCCTGTGTCAGCATACGAGTCTCCAAAAACAAATAGCTTTGTCGGCCGCCAATTAAATAGGTGGCGATGTGTGTGGTGGTGGTGGTGGTGGTGGTGGTGGTGAGCAGCTGAAACTAGCACCCCTTTTTGTCCTACAACAAAACAAACAAAGACAGGTAATCAATTTGGGAACAAATTCTTTCACCCATTTCTACTTATGCACAACCTCGTTTATTTCTAATCTTTCGATTTAATAAACAGAATGTGCATAAGAAGAAAAAAAGTGAGCGTCAACCATTTCCCTCAGTCACGTAGTATTAACTCATATGTATGCAGACCTGAGAGGAGGTAAAAGAGAAAGAGAGTGGGGAGGAGGAAGAGGGTTGGAGGTGATTTCATGGTAGACTATGAAAGAAAGAAACTTTGATTTGCTGAAAGAGATGTAATTAAGATGGAGTTGGAGATCATGCACCACTTGAATTTAATGAAGATATGGAAGGAATGGAAGAAATCAGTGCTTTATATAGTCGCTGTTGACCTGTGGCTGATGATAAAATATGTGAATGTTTAGGGGTGATATTGCAATTTGCATTCTTTTATCAATTTTTTCTCGGTCCAAATAAATAAAGCCAAATCTCATAATTCCAAGAAATTGGTGGTCCAAACTCTCAATTTTCCAAAACAAAAGAAGAATTTCATTGGAAAATACACATTATATATAAATTTCTTACAAAATTTCCAATTAAAACTTGAACTTCTTCAGGCAATACGAAATCCGATATAGTATTCTATAGTGCCTCTTTAATTATGCATATTTCCAAACTTATTAAAAATACATGATAAGTTAACATGTATCATGTAATATGTCATCATACAAACAATAACAAGAACAAGATGATAAATCTGCCTAATAATATTCCTATGCAAATGAACATTTTGGGTTGGTCTGAAGGCTGTAATCTGTCAAACAAGACGGGGCCGGCTTGGTAAAGGTCTTCTAGTGAATGACCCTCCTGGATTCCTCATCAAGAAAAGATGAATAAAATATCTTTTTAATGTATATGTGAAGGTTAATGATAAATTTTAATTTTCCTTTCGTAGTTGTAGAAGGGTTTAAAGTTTGAACACTGGTATTAGGACTCATCTATTTGTTTTCTATGTTTCTGCTCCACAACGTGAGACTATTGTAAACTATGTCATATAAACTTAAAAGAGGCACAATACTTCGGTTCATACATATAAATAGATATTCTTTTTATATTACGATATGATAATATTTCACTATTGAAACGTCATAATTAAAACTATTTATTTATTACAATTATTTTAGTTTAGGGTATAGAAATATATAGTTGTGTACTGCCTGCAAAAATTATGGCGCGTTGCTATAAAGGAAGGTGAAATTCGAGGTCTTGGAGATGTTATAAAGTAGAGATTTTTCATTGTGATCGGAATACGGGACAATACACCACGTGTCATTATATAAATGATGAGATATGTGTGTTAAAAAGTTAATAACTTAAAAAATAATTTTTTTTACCACTTCCAAAAAAACAAGTGGTGTACCATCCGTTTTCCCATTATAATGAAAAATTTCTCGTTATAAAGGACCCTTTTGGCACTTTTGATTGGTGAGATTGCACATTGTTTGCCATTGGTTTTAGCAACTAACGTGTTTTTGTTTTTTGAAGCAAAATATTGGTCAAGGAGCTAATTGTTAACAATCATACAAACCAACAATATAAAAATCCCAGAAATGGAATGCGTACAGATGATATAAGCCAGCAAATCATTGGTCAACTAAACAACTTGTAGCTAACTCTTCCACACAAATTGGAAGAGTTGTACTATCTGAATAATAATCAGTCTCTCTTGAAATCTCAACGCAGAAATTTTGAAAATGAGAAGCAAGCTTGAAGATTTCATCATCACTCCCATCGTAACCAACACGCACCATACACATTAGCATTTGACACGTGTTTTTTTCCACTTAACCACAGTTAATTTTTTTTTCAAAATTGGAAAAGCAACATTTAATATTAAAGTTAACCAAAGTTAGTTGAAATAACACGTGTCAGATGGTGATGCGTATGGTGAGCATACATTATAGTTATTATGGTGAGCAAAAATGTCTACCTGATATATACACTAAGTGGGTGGGTGAATAAATTGATTAAAAACTCGTCATTCTAGATATTCGAACCTAAGACCTCTCACTACAAGTGAAAAGAAATACAACCAGAACGTAGTACTAATTGGTAAACCGTCAAACTTATAAATCTTCCCTCAAACTTCTCTGCGAAACATCACCTAACCACTAGAGATGGTGCAGGCAGGTTATTTAAAGCAACTGGTTGCAGGGATGGATGGACCTCCAAACAGCGCACTTGGGCAGTCACAGTTACAAGAATGGAGTCCAAATAGTTTACTTGCGGATCACTGCTTTACGGCTCAAGTGTCATTTTTATGCAGGTTTGCTAGGGAGGAAACACAAATAAATTTCTTTTACGTCACAACGAGTAATTAAAGGTGTCGAATTGAGACGGAAAATCAAATGCAGACACTTCTGCGTAATCGTATAGCAACAGAATCGAATATTTTGCACAGAAAATCGAAAGGAATTTACTATTCCTCGTCAATAACTTCATTAAAGGTCTAATTGTACAGCATACAAAAAACATTTTACAATTTCAAATAAACACAAGGTTTCATGGTAGGCTTGCTCGCTCGCTCTTCGCGCCTGCGCTTGGTCATCTCTGAGAAGAGGAAGATGGCCATTAGGGTATTTTCAGTGGTAACTAGGGGCAGCACCCGACCTTCCATTTCGAGCTTTCACGATTTCATCAACTGCTTTCTTATATAATCAAGGACTGCATCCACATTCACTGTCCAAGCAACTTCAACAGGGGAATAGCCTGTCCATGGATTGCTTGTATTCCATCTGTAACAGTGTAAAATCATTACACTCGTAGAGAAGCATTTGCGTAAAATAAGAATTCATAAGAGCACGCTAATCTGCACATACTTTTTTAGTCCTTGATCCATCAGTGTATGCCCGGTGCAGATACCCTGAGTCTCAACCCTCACAACGCCCTTCTTGTACGTAAAGAGATCAGGACGGACTAGTGCTACGAAACTGACAGGGTCATGAAGGAAAATCCCTGAAACATACGGCAGAGAGTCATTTAGATAGAACATCAAATAAAAATAGAAGGACAAGAAGTTTTGAACCGGTAAGTACAGGGCTATATTTTAAGTTTACCATAAACACCATCAGATTGCACATGCCAGTCTCTGTAGAATTTGCATGTGTCGCATATGAGCTGAGTATGCTTTCCTTTGGATTGCCGCAGTTGAAGGAGGTCATCATCTAAAACCACAATACGATAATCGAGTCAGTTAGGACGCCACAGTTCCAGCGAATAGCTCATGAGAATATGGTCTGGAAAGTTAAGCAAACTGTAAGCTGGAAGCCTGGAAGTTGAACCTGTAAATTTCACTTGGGTCGTAATGTTTATTCCAACAACGGTAATGTTAGCCCCAGACGTAAACACAACATCTGCTGCTTCTGGATCTCCATAAATCTGCAAGTCAGAAATTGGATTCTTCATGTCCACAGTATTGAGATAAAACCGACAAGTAAAATGTAAACAGTGTTCAACAGTTAATGGCAGTTATGCAAGTATACAAGTGAAAGTAAGCTAAGATCCTAAGAGGGATGAAAACAAATACCGCAATTTTTTCAGGAAAAAAGTTACTTCTAAATAAAACATGAAATAATTTGGTGAAGCGTTATTTTTACTTGTTGGATGCACGGTGGCACATACATTTGCTTCTGCGGCAGGATTTACATTTCCAAGAGCGAAGAAGGAACCACCAAGTACGACCACCCTTTTCACCTTTTTCGCGAATGAAGAATCCCTTTTGACTGCCTGAGCAAAGAAACATCCGCATAATAAGTAAAGATATAAGTCTCAGAAGCTCCGGTCAACACCAAAACAAAGAAGTAAAAAGGATTCTTCAACTTACCAATGCTAAGTTTGTCAAGGGACCTAGGGCCAGTATAGAAACTTCACCAGGGTATTCAGAGACCATATCAACTAAAAATTCAGCAGCATTCTTCTCAATTTTCTTTGTTTTTGGAGGAGGTAGATGCAAGTTCCCCAACCCATCAGAACCATGTATAAAGTCGGCAACACATGGCCTTCCACCCTACTTCCACAATAAAACATGGTTGCGATAAACAAAACGAAGTTACTTATTAGCTTATTACAAAACTAAAGGAGGTGGCATAGGGCTTAAATGAAACAAAAGGGCCAAAAAAATTCCAACGCACAAATACAAAGGCGTAATGTTCAAAGGAATGCTCGAAGATTAACCTAAGTTCTAGGCCAGCTAAAGGAATACATATCAAAATATTACCTTTAGAGGCTCAGGACTTCCCTCCGCCACAGGTAAACCTGGATGCCCTGCGATCTCACACTATTCTTTTGCACGTTAAGAACAGTAATTGATCACGAACATACTAAAAAAACAATGGGATTGACAGACAGACCCGAAGTCATTACAAGAAGATGGAAATCAAAAGATATGAGCACGTACCAGAAGCAAGGCATTGCGAGTGGCATCTTCTGTGGTGACATTACCAAATATTGTTGTGAAGCCCAGGATTTCCAACTCCGGTGATTGAAATGCCATTAAGATGGCCATGGTATCATCTGTTGATTAGCAATAAAAAAAAGTATTACACAAGAAAAGTCGTTAAATGCTGTTATGGATTCCATAACTAATGATTTTCCCCATAACATTCAACTACTTAGTAAATGTTATTCAATGCCATTTCTATGTAAAAATTATGAAGTTTCTAAACCCTCAAGGGAATATTAAGACATTGAGAGTACATGAAAAGGAACTCCGACAACGCCTTCCTCCTCTGTTTCTCTAAGTTCCAATTGTCTTTCAAATCTCCAAAGTTCACTGATTAACCATGAATAAGTCAATAAAACTCGTAAGAACGTGAGCATCCAATCAGCAATAGGAGAGGGAGAGGCCCAAGAATATGTAAACTATGACGGCTAAGCGTCCTTTTCCTATGTGGGACAACTCTAAACATAACTAACCCTTCCCTTCATGCTCCTCAACTCCCAGTTCCAAACTATCACTATCCAAAAATGGTAATGAAAAAGTCAAAATCACCAAAGAAAAAGTGAGGCATGGACAAAGAAACGCTCCAAAATACGATCATATTCCGGATACGTAACTAATTCAATAATTAAAGATCCTCACGCTAACTCCATCACCATTTGGCATAAAACCAAACAAATATTCAGAATCGAAATCATCAATGCGGTCGATTCAATGAACGAAAAAACGCAAGCTAAGCCGAAAAGTTAGACAGTGGAGGCTAGCTCAGACGTTTTTGTTTCCCCATTGTTGCTGAGCTCAAAAAAAGTTCCTCTCTTCCACAACTCAAATCATCATAAAACTCAAAAGTCAAAATTCCAGCCTGGTTACTGTTCCCGCATTTTCTCAGCAACCAAACAGAGCAATCGGAACGATCCCAAAATTCAAAAATTTCCAGGTTACTACTCGCAAATTTTCTTAGTAGCCAAACAGATCAAAAGGAACCATCCCAACGTTCAAAATTCAAAAATCCCAGCCTGGTTACTACTCGCAAATTTTCAGCCTGGTTACTACTCGAATATTTTCTCAGAAACCAAACAAGAAATAGGAACACTAATGCATTAAACTTTGAAAAATATCAAGCAAAATTGAAACTAAAAACTCACCGATTCCAGGGTCGGTATCAATGATGAGCTTCTCGCGCTTCAGATGATTAGCCAAAACGCCGTCGCCTTCGACATCGACCACCACGTCGTGAGAATTCGTCATCGCTCCCTCGATGAACAAACGCCTTCCTTCGATCTCTCTCTCAGAACGATAATAACAATCCAGAGGAAACGCCTGCGAGTATTTATATAATGTGCATGTATATGCGAGTGATATATTATATTATATCATATGCATACACATATACATACACATATATATAGCCGGAATCGGAGCTTCGCCGGAGTGGAAGGGACGACGAGAGCGATGCTGCCTCGAGAGGCCTCTCGGCGAATTTATAAGTTGGTTTTGTTAGGTGCCGGATGAAGATGAGGAGACTTGTTCGTTGGGTGACCAATCAGGGATCGCCAGGTGGCATGTTTCAAGTGGATCTGATTCTCGTCCAGTCAATATGTTTGGCAAAGAGAAATGGTAAAGAGACCATCTCGTCCACTTTCTGTCATCTCACGATTAACGTTAATTTTCATTTCAAGAGAATATTTAGGGGGTATAGAGATGGAAGAATAGATCGGGTTTCCAACTTTTCTCTATAAAGTCCGGGGGCTCGAAATTAGGACTTCGAATGTAGTGATAAATAATTTTACTCTCAATTATAAATTGTTACGGGTTTCTGTAACACTTGTTACTTGATGTATTTTTTACGTATCATAAATTGAGTGGAGAAAATAATTGATGTGTTTAACTTGTGCATGAGTTATACTTTGACCGGACAAAACAATTGATGTGTTTAACTTGTACATTAGTTAGACTTTGACTGGAATTGTAACACCGCGTGTTTGGTGTTTGTTTGGTATATCTAAAAATCTCTTCAGGCAATGGTCTTCCAACTTAGTTTAGTTAAGGCTTAATTTATCCAAGAAAAGGCTTAAGGCCGGTTTAGGGTTGCTTAAAGTTTTTTAAAAGCAACTTCTTAAAAGAGTTGGGGCTTTAATTGTGTTTGGTAAATGAAAAAAAAAAGTGTTCATTACTTTTCAAAATCATGAGTCTAAAACAGCAGAAAGTATAAGTAACTCTACACATTTTTTCTAAAAAACACGCTTTTGCATTGGAGGCAGATGAACTATATTAATTAATGAAACTGTCATATTAACAATCCTATCCTCATCTTAACTTAGGAGTTTCTACGGAACCCGAAGCCAGCGAGCTCCCAAAAGGCCTCGTGCTAGGTAGGGATGGCAATATACATATAAGGATCCCCTGGGCGATGTGGGATCTAACACTTAGCATAGTGCTTGGATTGGTTGAGTTCATCCCACAAAGTATATATAATTTTAGGTATCATTTTTTGTTATGAAAAATTCTTATATGCCAGAACGGATAATCCAATAAGGAATTTAAAAAGATGAGTGTAACAATACGAACACAATACTCTAGCTAGCTGACTTAACTTACATTGACAACAAGTTTATTTAAAATAAATTTTTGCACAATAAATAATTTAACAACTTGAATTACAAACTCCTTACTTATGACGGAATAAGTTATTCATAATTTTTACTTCTATGATGCCACTAAGATAAGACATCTTAACCCAACATTCGATCTTGCTTAATTTCTAAGCCAATGCTGTCAAATTCAAAAGAGAAATGGGTATAGGGTTCTCAACTGCACTATTTATTGTCGCTAACCTTTATCATTATATATTAATTAATTAATTATTAATATTAATATTAATTAATTAATTATTAATATCAATTATTTGTTTTTTACATGTATTATTTGAGATTCCAACGCAACCATATGGATTTGGTCACTTTATAATCAAAATCTAATTATTCTTACTTCTTTGGTTTGGCGGTCATAAAAATTTTCACCTACAAGTGAATAAAATTACAATTAGATTATTGTGCTAACGACGACAACACCAATAGCTTCTCAAGATTAGATCGTAATTTCAATAGTGTTCATAGATGTTCTCAAATTATTAAGTGGAAAGCCCCTCGTGCTCCATTGATCAAAATCAAAATTAATTTTAATTGTTCGGTGGTGGGATCTCAAGTGGCTGCAGGTTTTGTCATCAGAGATCATAATGGGTCTCCTATTATTGCTGGGACACACATTCTTAGGGAGACTACTATATCTATTGCTAAAGCACTTGCCTTACGTGATGTGCTGAAGATTGTAAAAGTCAAAGGTGATGTCTGTGTTGAAGGTGATTCCAAACTCGTTATTGATTCAATTTTGAACAAGTTCAGAATGCCTTAGCAATCAAATACTATTATAGAGGACATCAAACTACTTGCACAATCATTTTCTTCTATATCTTGGGTTCATGTTTTTCGGAAGGCAAATTTTCTTGCTGATGTCGTTACTAGCATTGAACACTCCATTCAAAATACCTTTATTTGGGTTAAGAATTTACCCACCATTGCTAGAAATGCTTCTTTATTTTATTATACTAAAAGCGGTTGTAATCGAATTATCTCTATTTGAATTATCTCTATTCAATATATGCAGTCTTACAAAATTAAATATTCTAAACATTGATAAAGAATATTAATGACTCATTTGCAAGTACTTTTAAAATAACCGAAATAGCTCGCTGAGAAAATATTCTTTGAGTTCCAAAAGTACTTGACTGTGCTTCTTGCATGAAGCATTTCAAATGCTTTTTCAAGATCTAATTGCAAAACGAGCCACAAGTGTTATTTTGTTGAAAGTGCTTTTGTTAGAAGCATAATAAAATTTTGATTAAAAATTCAAGTATTTTTTTAATTACGGGGAGGATTAGTGCGTATAGAAACATACTACACCTACCAACTTAGCTATGGTTTGCACATTACAAAAACTTCTTTAACCATTTTTAAACTAGTCGTAAAAGGTAACTGCTTACTTTTTTTTTCAAATTTAAAAGACGCTTCTAAAAGCTAAGGACATATTTACTCACCGTGAACGAGTATTGCACGATATGAATTATCATTTATGCTATTGACATATCTTGCGTTTACTAAACACATAACGGATCAAGCAATGAGTGGGTTTCAAATTAGGATTAGTTTACTCATACTTGAATAATCAAGTATTCAATGCATGTGATCCAATATCCTAGTGGATAAGATGTTGAGTTTCTACTCATGCATTCCGCATTCGAAACTCTATTCTCAAAATTATTGTGATAGTTTCAATTCTCCCCCGTGCTCTCATAATAGTCCCAAACTCAATATTAAGTTGTACTATGTCAAAATATCACACGCAATCCATTTTCTGTTGTTTAATCTTTTCTTGTCTTTGTGCATATTTCTTAGATGTATTAACATTTGATGACAAGTGTCTTCGCCCATGAGCGGTAGGTCCTCTCCATAAATGGGGGTAAGGCTAGCCGACATTCACCTCTCCCAGACCCTGCCTAAAGCAAGAGCCTTGTGCACTGGGTACGACCTTTTTTTATTAACATTTGATGACATGTTATGTACTCATTGGCTCAAACCTCAAGTTCAAGAAAATTTATAATGGTGTTCCGTGTCAATAAAAGAAAAATATATAAGTTTTTGACCATGTATCCTTGTTTCATTAGCACTGGATTTTTAATGACAATACACACGTGATGTATAAGTTGTATCTCTTCAACTTCACATTCGGTACACGGCAGCCAACATGCGACAAGGAAATTCGCAGGTCCACTACATGTGGTGGTGTCCCTACCGATCAACAGATTTCACAAAATCTCTCTATGCCAAGACAAAAGCATGTGGGAACACATGGAAAAGCCACTTTTTTCCCGCATAACCAACATAATTTCGTTTTACGAATGATTTAGTGGTTAAAAATCTCAATGTATAAGATACACTAAAACGAAAAACGAACTTCAGCTCCTCTCTTCTGTGAGAGTTTCTTTCTCTTCGGCTGGGGTCGGGTGATGTGTCCTTTCTCCCTTTTCTCCTTCTTTTCTCCCTGCATCCACTATTGGTTCTCCCCAATTTTCAATTCAGCCTATCCAATTCCTCCAACTCCGTGGGTTTTCTTCTTCCTGGTTCTTCCTTGCTTCGTTTTTCAGCCATGTCCTCTATAGAGTTCGTGTGTAGAGTTCCGGCGCTTGCACCGACTCGGGTGTTTTCCATACCATCATGTTCTCCTTTGTGTGGGCCGCTTGCGGTAGTGTTGCTCAGGACTTGTTCTGAGCTTCCACTTGGTGATTCGCTTCTTTTGCTTGGATGCCAATTACCCCTAACTTATGGTTGTGTGCAGGAGATGATCGGCAGTGGTCAAAGAATTGGCTTGCTGGCAGTTCCTTGGACCGTTGGTGAAGAAGGCAATGGATGCTTCTCGGATGTTCTTTGGTTTTGAGCTTTTGGGTTCATTCTCTGTTTCTGTTGTTTTTTCTTTCTATTTAGGCCCTTTTTGGTTGTTTATAGATGTTTGTTGGGCATTTATCTGTTTGTAAATTTGTGTTTTGGTTGGAATAAAATCTTCCCCTTGACAAAAAAAAAAAAAACAGATACACTAAAAAATACTAGAAAATTATTTTGAATATAGAGTTCGGTTACAATTGTACGTACCACTTAATGGCACAAACTTTATGCAGAACCTAACAGTTGCGAAAAATTCCCTAGATCTGTATATAGTATATACAAAATACAACCGTTGGTTTTCTCGACCACTCAATGGTACGTATTATGAAAGAAAAATTGATATCTGATGTTTGAATCATTGCTATCTTACAATCATGTCAATTTGTCACGTCTCATGCTCAGTAGACCAGATTTCATGCCCTCAAATATCACGACGAAAAATTCCATAAAAAGTAAAATGAATTTTGGAATTTATCGGGTTTTTAATGGACTGAGATTTCGATCTAAATTTTTACTATATTGGTAAAGATGGATGATAAGAAAAATACAACACTACGAACTTGCCGATATGCACTGCAGTGACAAATTTGAGTTCTTCCATATACAACTGGTTAGAGAGGTAGGTTCAGCAGAACTTCGTACTTTCAATGCAAACCCCCTGGGAGACTTCTGGTTCCTTACCTCCAGGAAGACTTCGGCCGCTAGGATTCTCCTCATTCGATCGTCAGATCGAGAAATTTTACAGCAAAATTTGGCCCCCGCACTAAGTATGCGATGCCAGAGACCTGTCGACAATTGGAAAGAAGCACAACAATTAGTACTTCACACCGTATGTAAAAACTGCACAGTTAACCTCACATGCAGCATTTCACAACTGGACATGACAACCGCTCCTCTCGCTTGACCATTTGGAACTCTGTTAAAACCCGAGACCAGAAGCATCATGACCCGAAAATTAATTCCTGATGCTAATTACAGACCAACACAATTTGATATATTTATCAAACCCCAATCCAGGGAAGGAGGAACATTTTTTTTTCTTTTTGGTAAATAATGGAAGAGAGAAGTTATAAGAACTACCGTCTACATCTGGTATTCATTTAATAACCTCACACAACCCAATCTGTTGGCTAACCAACCACCAGGGCTAGTTAAGAGCGAGAGTGGAATCCAATGTTAACACTTCCACAAGCATCACAGGATAGACATTATAACCTTGAAACTAAGAAATCCTGCACTGTCTACATGCATAAACTTGTAGTAAGCATAATAAGATAATTGAACACAAATATCAGCATCGTATTTGACACACCTTTTTAGTATAAAATCTGCTCGTAACAGTTCACGTCATTATGTAACTTCACGCATTTTAGAGTTTTGGGAGCTTATGATGTTGGCAGGTGTCTTAACAAGACCACCCTTTGCATTTCCAGTGGCTTGTCCGGTGGGATTCCTAGCATTTGCTGTCTCAGTTGCTACTATGGACTTCTTTATCTGCCAAAGAAGGGAAGGAGAAAATTAAACAAAAATAAAACATAACAAACCCAACAATAAGCTTTACATATTCATAATCATTCATGATGCATTATTCTAACCAGCCAAGTTCAAACAAAAACAGCAAAGAAAACGACGGACAAACTTACCACAGCAAGGCGCTCCTTGTGCATATCATTTGTAAGCTGCAAAACCATCACAAAAAGCAATCAACAATTAATGAAGCATTAAAGGGCTTTTTTTTTTTCTTTTTTTTTTTTTTGCATACCATAAACATACGTTTTTAAGTTTTACGATACAAAAGTACTAGTAACCAGTCAGTCAATGCTTACTGGTTTTCTGAAGCCTTTAATCTCATCACCACCGAACCCAGGAAGAGTTATATTCCAATTTTTTTCTGGACGAAACAAATAAACACAGAAGATTAAGCACTAGATGTACATAATGTGAACAGAAACATCATCTAGCACTTCTCCCACATAACTAACCAATATGTAGAAGTATGTCTTTTGCTTCTAATTGAGTTGATTTTCTATGCTTGGCTAGTGAGCAACTAAATGTTGTAATCTGCACACGGACAAAAAAAATACATGTTGGCAACATAAGAATTATGAACAAAATAGAATAGATATATATAGAAAGCTATAACTGGGGATAATGAAAAGTCAATCATTATAGAGCATATTGAAAAGCAGTGAAGCAAAAAGACAATATGAAACAAGTATGCAAAATAAAGCCTTTCCCTATGATGTTAGTGCTGGCCACAACAATGCCATATTATCGAGGAAAATTTTCATATCCAAGCACTTACTTCAGCTAGAGAAGATATGGACACAAAGGATACCCATGAGTTTACAACAACAACAACAACAACAACAACAACAAAGCCTTTTCCCACTAAGTGGGGTCGGCTATATGAATCCTAGAACGCCATTGCGCTCGGTTTTGTGTCATGTCCTCCGTTAGATCCAAGTACTCTAAGCCTTTTCTTAGAGTCTCTTCCAAAGTTTTCCTAGGTCTTCCTCTACCCCTTCGGCCCTGAACCTCTGTCCCGTAGTCACATCTTCGAACCGGAGCGTCAATCGGCCTTCTTTGCACATGTCCAAATCACCGAAACCGATTTCTCTCATCTTTCCTTCAATTTCGGCTACTCCTACTTTACCTCGGATATCCTCATTCTCAATCTTATCCTTTCTCGTGTGCCCACACATCCCACGAAGCATCCTCATCTCTGCTACACCCATTTTGTGTACGTGTTGATGTTTCACCGCCCAACATTCTGTGCCATACAACATCGCTGGCCTTATTGCCGTCTTATAAAATTTTCCCTTGAGCTTCAGTGGCCTACGACGGTCACACAACATGCTGGATGCACTCTTACACTTCATCCATCCAGCTCGTATTCTATGGTTGAGATCTCCATCTAATTCTCCGTTCTCTTGTAAGATAGATCCTAGGTAGCGAAAACGGTCGCTTTTTGTGATCTTCGCTAAATTGCTCCGGTCATTAGTGTGGATAAGTATATAAATGGATAGAGATAGGAAAGCAAACACAAGATGTACGTGGTTCACCCAGATTGGCTACGTCCACGGAATAGAAGAGTTCTCATTAATTGTGAAGGGTTTACACAAGTACATAGGTTCAAGCTCTCCTTTAGTGAGTACAAGTGAATGATTTAGTACAAATGACATTAGAGTACAAATGACATTAGGAAATATTGTGGGAGAATGATCTCGTAATCACGAAACTTCTAAGTATCGGAGTGTGGTATCATCTTGACTTGCCTTATCTGTCTCATAGGTAGATGTGGCAGCTTCTCTGGAAGTACTTTTCCTCCATCCAGGGGTGGTATCTTTAACTGGTGGAGATGCACAAGGTAATGTATCAATTTCACTTGAAGCTTACTTGTAGTTTCAGGCTTGGTCAAGCGCGATACAAACCATGTAGTAGGAGTCCCCCAAGTCGCCGAGCTAGGGGATTTGCTGAAAGAGGTGACAGACAAGGTAAGCAATCAGAGCTCCGGCTGATTGTTCACCTTCTCCCCATCTTGCAGCAGCATGAAGGATAAAGAGAAGAAAAATGAGAAGAGATGATATGGGATACTTTTGCTTTTGAAGAAGTAACTTTTCCACAGGCTTATTCTTGAACTGAGCTGGAGGGTTTTCTGGTTTCCTCCAGAGTATAAGGCCGACTGAAGAATTTGAGGGTCAAAACAAGTCCATCAAATCTAGAGTACGTTCGACCCTGCTGATATGGGATACTTTTGCTTTTGACAGAGTAATGGATGGATCGGCACGTGTGCTGTTACGCTTGTCTCCACATGCTTCCTTGTATCCTTCGCACTTGCCCTATCTGTTCCTCAAGCAGATGCGGTAATCTTCCCTGGCAAACATAAGATGTTGAAGATGAGTACTCGAGAGCAATGCCAGGTAAGTAATCAGGTAAGGGGTTCCAGGCTGTCAGTTCCTGGCTGGGAGCTTGATTTCAAGTGCTGACTGATTGCTCTCTTTCTCCTTGTCTTGCAGGTAAAAACAAGGCCAAAGAAAAGACAGGGAAAAAGCATGATATGGGATACTCTTGCTTTTAACCCTGATGATATGAGATATTCTTGCTCTAGTATAGCTTGTTTGCAGAGGTATTATCGGGGGGAAAGAAAGCTGAATATTTCGAAAGGCTTCGTTGGGAGTGCCCTCTCAGATATGAGGAAGGGTTGAGCATTTTTGCAGGTCTGCCTGTCCGTTGGGGATGGAGGTCGACATATATAGGAGTCTCCCTAACAACAAGTAGTAATGCTATTCCTTTACCCTGCTTGGTCATAGCACGGTAGTGGGAGCTGCCAGCTTCACATGTTTTAACTCTGTCAGAGCACTTTGAAAAAGTGGTATGTGGTATCTGGCTCTCGAGATTCGGAAGAACGATGCTTCTTCGATTTTTGAGAAAGCAATCATGGTGGGGGTCTGGCTCTCGAGATTCGGGGAGCAGTGTCTCTTCGATTTTTTGAGAAGTAATCATGTTGGGAGTCTGGCTCTCGAGATTCGGAAGGCGGTGCCTCTTCGATTTTGGAGTAAGCAATCTTGTTGGGAGTGTTTTCTCGGATGTGAGTAAAGGTTGGGCATGTTTGCTAGTCTACCTTGCCACGAAGCACGGAGGTTGACACACAGGGACTTTCCAATTATCCAGCAGTGGTACTGTTCCTTTACCCTTGTGGGTAATAATATGGTAGCTAGACCTTCAAAATTTATGTGTCTAAACTTTGTTAGTGCTGTTTCTTTGCTATTCTTTTACCTTTCTTGGTCAGAGCGATGTAGTAGTGGGAGCTGCAAGCTTCACGTGCTCAACTTTGGCAGAGACTTTGACAAAGTTATCTGTGGTACCCATGAGCTATTGTTGCGTGTGGGAAGTGGGTGATTGAACAGTAAGATTCATGTGCTTTCTACTTCACCAGAAGTCTTCGACAGAATGCCCATAATTTCCGCAAAGCTGAGTGTGCGTGTGACAGGTGCTGACAAGGCTAGAAAAGAAGGTGCCTCTTCGATTTCTGAGATCGGCCCTCGTGGTCTCTGAGCAGCCCAGCTTTTGAGAAAGCGAGCGCCTCTTCGATTGATTCGGAGAACGATGCCTCTTCGATTTTTGAGAAAGCAATCATGCT